GGACGGGAAAGTGTGTGGTGTTTAAAAACTGGCCACTCAACTCTCAACATGTGGCACATTGTCAAACTTGATGTCAAAAAAATTGTACTTGTAGCATGACTGTAAAATAATAGTAGGCATCACCTTCCTTGTGAGATGTTGTAACTCAATATTGTACAAGGAGCATTATTCAAATTTTATTGAGAAAATTGATGGTACAAAATATTCCACACGGGACGGTTTCAAAAAAAAGACGTTTTGTTCTATTTTCGAAAGGTAACGAGTTTTTGACATATTGATCAACAGGTAGTGGATATTATACTATTTAGCCTTTTAAAAATTGGATATACGGATCCACTGTAATCCAACCCGATAAAACATTGAAAGTGACGAGTTCCAACAATACTATGCGTGAGCGGACAAACCCAAGTCGCATGTCAACACGGATAAAGTTCACACCAAACCCAAGTCCCACAACATTCGCCTTTACTCTCTCTAGAGTTTCCACAACCCTCACAATGAATTAACTCTAATAATCCCAATTGAGCTTCACACCCTAATATCAAATCCCTTGTTTCTTCTTTAAGAAACAATTTCCCCATTTATTGTAATTAAATTTATCGAGAAATGAGGAAAAAGTACCGTTTCTAAGATTTCTCAGTTATGTACAGATCTGTACAGCTCTCCGTCTTCGAAGGTTATTTTTGGAATGATGATTTTGACGTTGTGGGATTGTTGTACTTTTGCTGATCTTTAGATAGATGATTTTATGTATTTATGGAGAATTTTAGTCAAAGATGGGAGCTTTAGTTTTGGGACTGTTTTTTAACATTTCTTATGAGCTGTACATGGATTAATTTGTTAATGATATGTAGCTCATAAAACTGTCAGGATTTTCATCGAAATTGTTTTAGCCTTTTCTTTTTCTAGGTATAGCAGTTTGATTTCTGGGTGTTAAAAGTGTAGTTTTAAGAGAAATTTTGTAGAGGGCAGATTGGTTGGTGAGATCCATTCGAGTCGGATTTGCCCATTAATCATTGATATCAACAGTGTATCGTATCTGGCTTGGAGCTTATATTAGTGTTTGTAAATTATGTCTTTTAAGAGTATACTTCAGGATATGAAGGGGGAGTTTGGGAGCATATCTCGGAAAGGGTTTGATGTGAAGTTTGGTTATGGATTGAGGTCAAGGTCTCACCGGGTAGTTCAGGATATTTCTATGACTTCAACTGATGCTTTGAAGCAGAGTTGTTGGGCCAATATGCCACCGGAGCTCTTGAGGGACGTGTTGATGCGGATTGAGGAGTCCGAGTGTACATGGCCCACAAGAAAGAATGTGGTTGCTTGTGCTGGTGTTTGTAGGAGCTGGAGAGAAATCATGAAGGAAATTGTCAAAACCCTGGAAGTCTCTAGCAAGTTAACTTTCCCCATTTCCCTGAAGCAGGTTCGGTTTATTGAGCATTTGTTGTGCTTTTAGTCTATTCTTGTTTTCCCATTTTTCTTTTATGTGCATGAACTTGCTACCTGGATATTCCATAAATCATGATAGAAAATGTGGATTGTTTTAAATGCTTAATTCAATTTATATTCCGTCAACGTGAATTGAGGAGTGGATTCTTTTGTGTGGTTTAGGAATGTGCTTGTATTTATTTAATTCACTGCCATAATTTTCAGATGGAGGGATTGGAGGATTTTTAAGTACCATTCTGATTTGCCACCCCATGGTTACAAATGAAAAGCGGACTATATACATGTCCTCCTCCCCATTAACTAGCAAAAAGCTTTCACATCGGGTTATTTTACATAATTATATTGGTGACATTGCACATTGTTCATTATATTCTAAATGTTTCTCAATGCTTGATGGCAATGATCATTTCAAGCATCAAACTTTCTATAAATTCTATGCAAAAAAGTAAAAATTTGCTGGGGTCAACAAACTTGCTATAAATACTATACAAAAATGTGTATATAAATATGTTGGGATCAATTGTCTTAGGGATCTCTGAAAAGATCATTGAAATTATGTAGTAGACAAATTTTTCAATGTTTTATAAATACGAAAAAAAAAATGACAAACTAAGCCTTTTTCCCTATAAATCTGGAGTATAGTACATGAATCCTTTTTTTTTTTTGGTAGAACAATGCAATCAGGTGATCTCATTAAATATACACACTATATCTTTCCTTAGCAGTTCATCCTTCTTGTGATTTCATTGCTTCTATTCAATCTTGTTTTTATCTTAAATGCTCTTGACTTGGTGTAGATCTCTAGTTACAATATCACCACTATGCACATCCTTGTATTTCTGGTTTTTCTGTAAGTTAAAGATTGACCATGTCTGTCGAAGTTTTTAACTTAGTTTTTCCTATAATTTTGTTCCTTGTCTATTTCTTTCTATAAACAAGGCTAGTTCTGTCAGTCGAAGAAATTATAAATATCTGAGGGTGAGATAATGTGTATATCTGTCGAATTTAGTGATGTTGAATGTAGAGAGAATTAAGGGAAATAGTTTTCAGTTGTATTAGTACCTCGAGCTTGGCAGAGTATCAACACGTTTAGAGTTCTTTCAAAGTTGGGTCGGAAATAAAAAAAAGCTTAACTTGGAAAGTTTCGTAACTTGTTTGGATGTAGATATTGAATTCTATTGTACCAGCACATGATTTATTTTCACATTCCTTCTTTTGTCATGCATTGCAATGAAATAGAAGAGTTCATGAATTTACCACCTTAATTTTCTAAATGTCTAAATGGAAATCCAACCCGGTAATTTGAATTTGATTACAACTTTTACTAGAACAAGATGCACTAAATTTATGTTGTCTAAAAATCCGACTTTGCTAAACATGGTCAGCCGGTCCTAAGAATTTGGTTTTACTCCATATGAACAATAGATGTGGTTCGATATGGGTTATATTTGGAAATTATGAGACTTATAGTGTACAAAGACAGAGGGTACATGCGGTTTTATGCCTTATCTATCTTTCTGAATGTCTATACTTTTTGAATAGTTACAATCTAGCACGATATGGCTTTTGTGTATGTGCATAACGAAGGTGACTTAATTGAAATCATTTTATGTCTAGAAATGTGAGATAGAAATTATAAGTCATTTTAAATCAAATACCAAATTTTTTTTTTTTGGGGGGGGGGGGGGGGGGGGGG